ATGTCTAGCTAAAGGTCAGCAACTACATTGTCTGGGTTGTCCAGGGTATCCAAATCTTTCTGATATAATTCCGCTGTGTATTCTTGCCACCTCTTCTTGATGTCTTCTGCATCTGTTAGGTCCCTACGCTTTGTGTCCTTTATCATGTCCATCTTTGCACAAAAGGTGCCTTTAATATCTCCAATTTTCTTGAACAGATCTCTGGTTTTTCCCTTTCTATTATTTTCTTCTATTTCTTTGCACTGTTTATTTAAGAAGGCCCTCTTGTCTCTCCTTGCTATTCTTTGGAAGTATGCATTCAATTTTCTGTAACCTTCCTTATCTCCCTTGCATTTTGTTTCCCTTCTGTGCTATTTGTAAGGCCTCGTTGGAGAGTTCAAACTAAATGTGATCCACCTGGAGCAGGAACTGGCAAGCCACTCCAGATTTGCGCCTCTCTAGATGTTGCTAAACTACAAATCCCAGAATCCCTTGCCACTGGCCATCCTGAGAAGAGCTGATAGGGATTTCAGCTGCAACAAAATCTGGAATTCCTGGATTTCCCTATCCATGTTATAAGCCAGTAAATGAAAATATACCGGTAAGATCAATATAAGAACAGTTGGAATCTACCAACAATTAAAACCATCACAGCAAATTTAGAAACAGCTGGCTAGGGACAGTTACAGCTATTTTTTCTTATCTATACAATTAACGGCATGAAATATTAATGAATATCCACATAACAAGATCAATAAACTTCTAGTAAAGATTAATGACGGCATGCAAGACACATACCAAGCTTTTAGAAATGTAGCATTTCATTTGGTCTATACCAGCTCCAGGCTTAGTTCCTGAAGAACACCACAATGTGTCAAGCCGGAGCTTTTTAGATAAGAATATAGTCTGTGTTGCCAATACTTTTATACATCTGGAAACTCAGTCTCCCATTTGTATTTATGCCACCAGTGGACATACCAGTTCCTTCTGATTTGAATCATTTATACAGGAAAGTACTGTACCTCCTTTGGTAATGTCTTCAAGCAGTAATATTGAAGGCACCTAAAAAAGCATTATAATTTGGGATATAGTTTGGACAAAACTCATGCCACAGTATATTTGCTAGTCTTAAAGGGCTATTAGGTTCTTTGATCTTCTCCCTGTAACATAGCCCAATTGCGTTTCGGAAGTATGTCTTGATGGATAACCATCAGCCCAAAGAGAAACACTTCTATAGCAGATCAATTATTAAGTGAAAATACTAAAGCTGTAAAGCAGGGCTGGCCTTAGGACTATTTCCACTTATTCATATCCACATTCAGCCATGCTGGAGTTCTGAGGGCATAAAGGTTGAGTGATATTCTGGCTGCCTCCCAGATGTATTTCTCAAAAATGAATTGGAAGATGGTGAAGAAACTGGCAATTAAAAAAAAAAAAAGCACACATCACCCAGAATTCCCTAGTGGCTGGCAGATTCTTTGACTCTCCTCTTTGGGAGAAAGACCCACTACGATGCTAAATAAACATGCCTTGCAATCTGTAAAAAGTGAAATTTATAAGCCACAGCAGAAGTTCCTGCCACTGATGCTTTATCCGAATTTTGGGCTATAAAATCTAGGAAACACCCTCAATTTCAGACACTGGTAAAATGGTAAAGTGTGGATCTGTGTTCTCCAGTGCTTAAATAAAATAAATATTAGCATATACAGAGAACAATTATAACCAGAAGGGCCTCAGCAAATGGGATTAGAAAGCAAAGCCTGTTAACACACTTTGGAATGCATGTAATTATCTCAAGGTTTTCACAAACTGCCTTATCTATATGATTGTTTGCTGTAGAAGGTATGCTAGAATGTGCTCTTCAAATACAAAAAGCAAAAACTCACATTCACAACCACAATTCGCTCTAAACACAAAGTGACTGTTCAGAAATTTCGTTTTTATCCAATTCATTTTCAACATTCAGTCTTACAGCTGTTTTAGACTTCAACTCCCTGAATCCCTTAGCATTGGACCTGCTTCAGGGAATGGAAGTCCAAAACACGCAAAGGATAAAAGGCTGAAAACCACCATATTATAATAAAGAATTCATAAAGTGTTAATGACTCTGGCTGGAGAGCTCAGTGGTATAGATATCTGGCTGCAGAGCCAAAGGTTGGGAGTTCAATTCCCCACTGTGCCTCCCAGGCGAAAAGCCAGCCTATGTGGGCTTGGGCAAGCTGCACAGTCCCAGGGCGCCCCTAGAGGAAGGGGGATAAAACAGCTGTGAGTATTCTCTACCTCGAAACCCTGAAAAGGGTCACTATACAGTGGTGCCTCGCTTAACGACGATAATCCATTCCAGGAAAATAGCCGTTAAGCGAAAAGATTGTAAAATGAAATTTAAAACCCCATTGAAATGCATTGAAACCCATTCAATGTGTTCCAATGGGGTAAAAACTCACGTCCAGCGAAGATTCTTCATACGGCGGCCATTTTCGCTGCCTGTATAGCAAGGAATCCATCCCTAAACGCAGCGGGAAGCCATTTTAAGCACCCGGCGATCAGCTGTTTAAAAAAACATCATTTTGCGAAGAATCGGTTCCCGAAGCAGGGAACCGATCATTGCAAAGCGAAAAACCCCTATTCAGACCATTGTTTTGCGATCGCAATTGCGATCGCAAAAAGATCATCGTACAGCGATTTCATCGTAATGCGGGGCAATCATTAAGTGAGGCACCACTGTAAATTGGAATTGGCTTGATGGCACACAATTATTATTATTAAAATGCTAATGATAAAAAAGAAGAAATAAAGAACGTACTTTTCCATGCGCAATATATAAAAACTATTGTTTGGCTACTTTTTCCCAAACATGTATAAAGCACCTTAATATGAATGTTTTTATTTCACTTCAAAATAATAGATTTCTGGCAAGAAACAGGACTATGCAACATTCTGCTCAAGCTTGTCTACCCTTCCAAATGTCACAGTAGTATTAAATATGATAAACACCTACACTGAAGTATTTTCAGATCCCACACAGATAATGCTCCCTTCATTTTTCAATTATCCACATTTTCTTAAACCTCTACCTATTACATCTCTTGCAATTGTTATATAACTAGGGTAATACACTTACCTTAATTGCTACTCTAGCAACACCTTAATTTTAGAGCTTGCGTTTTGGGCAATGTATCACTAACAATATATTTTTTTCCAATGATAAAAATCCTTGAAGAAAAAGAAATGGTTTCTAAATGACACTTTAAAAATATGCTTGGAAAGTAAGGAATAACCATTACTAATTGCCCCTAAAATATAACACATGAGTGTTAACATTGCAAATGGTGAAAAATTACTGGTATTTTTATCTACTATTATCCCATAAACTAACATCTTATACAGGTAATGTTACTTACAATGTCTTACTTTAAAGCTCTGACCTCATAGAGTTATTAATGGCCCATAAACCTCACCTCTGAATTTCGTATTGGACATATTAAAATCACAGCAGAAGAATAAGTGGATAGTTTATGCTCCGACAGATTTGTTAAAACTCTCTTAGAAATAGGATACTTTAAAAATATTGAGAACAGGGACTTACAAGTCTCTCGCCCGAAAGAACTTCCAGCAGTTTGATAAGCATCCGTCCATCACGAAGATCAGTATATAAGTCCGTAATTCTACAGGATACACGTGCCAGGTGAGAGTTAACCCACTTAGTGAACGTCTTTTTCTGGACTGCCTCTCGTTCATCTGGTGGAGAAAAAAATGGTAATGCACCAGAGTTTAGTCATAAAAAATTTCATCTGGAACAGAAACGAACAGGGTGAATTTGATTTAAATCCAATTGCCAAATGTTTATAAAACATTTCAGCATGTATACATTACTGAAACAGCGACATCTACGTTGGCTTGGGCACGTCGTGAGAAGGGCTGGTGGTCGGATTTCAAAAGATCTCCTGTATGGAGAATTAGTGCAGGGAAATCGCCCCAGAGGGAGACCACAGCTGTGATACAAGGATATCTGCAAATGGGATCTGAAGGCCTTAGGAATGGACCTCAACAGATGGGAAACCCTGACCTCTGAGCGTTCAGCCTGGAGGCAGGTGTTGCATCATGGCCTCTCCCAATTTGAAGAGAACCTTGTCCAGCAGGCCGAGGCAAAGCAGCAAAACCAGGAAGCTGGACATGGGACAGATTGGATTTGTCTTCAGTGTGGAAGAGATTATCACTCTCGAATTGGCCTCCTCAGCCACACTAGACGCTGGTCCAAGTCCGCCATACAGAGCACGTTACCATAGTCTTTCGAGACTGAAGGATGCCTAACTGATATGAATGTTTTTATTTCACTCCAAAACAATAAATTTATGATCAGAAAAAGGATTAATTGATTTAAATTACAATTTAAATTTTTTTTAAAATCAATTTTGGGGGACAATGAATTTTTTTAAAATCATTATTATAAATAATAATTTAAATCAATTAGATTTTTTTTAAAATTATCAGCCATACACCTTGGCATTTAGCAACTCTCCTTGCTTTTCTACCACCATTATAATGCAGGTGACAGGTGAGAATGGGGATTCAGAGAGTGACCACAGGAGGTCCGACTGATGGAGTTGCTCATACTAGACTTACTAGTCAATATTTGTTGTTAATGTATGCCAGTCAAATGGCATAAATCTCAATGGCAAATTGTTGCTAATTAAGGACTTGATGTTTGTACTCGTTGCAGACCAGTTGTGTTAAGTAATAGGGTTCTGGCCATACAATTTATCAGGTCTGATATCACAGCAATTACTCCTAGTACTAGTTATTTAAGTCTCTCTTAGCTGCTTCCTATCTAAGTCACATATAATGGAGTACGTGAATCATCTTAGTAAGAATTCCATCTGTCATGCCCAATTTTTCGTACTAGAGGCCCACATGGCGTCTACTTTGCCCATTCCTGTTTCAAAGTAAGCCTTTTAATGATGAACTATACTGACACTGCTGATTGACTTGCTGGCTGTTGTCGTAGAGTTTCAATATTGTGTCTATTTGTTTTTATGGCTGCTGCATTGATAGATGTTTTTCAGAGGTTTGTCTTTTTTTGCTAGGCTTAAAATCTGGCTCTGTGCTGTTGTGGGCAGAACAGGAGCACAGCATTATGAATAAACAGAGATGAGGAGCTGAAATACATCAATGAATAATACTGATAACACCCTATGTTTCCTATCATTAATTCCTTCAAACTGATTTTCCTGCCATCTTAAAGCACTGGAACTCAATCTTTGGCTCTTTGGATGTTTTGGATGTGAATTCACAGAACACCTGGCTATTGACCATTCTAGTTGGGGCTTCTGGGACTGATATTTAAAATACCCTGCGGCTAAAGATAGAGAAATACTTCCTCACTAGATCACTTGCGGTACCTTAGTCTTAATCAATTTCACATTCCATTCAGCCTGAATTTGAAATAGGCTTGCTTATTTGCCTTAGATCTCCCAGTATAGAAGAAAAGTGGATGGATGGATGGATGGATGGATGGATGGATGGATGGATGGATGGATGGATGGACAAAACCTATGACATTTACACCAAAGAAGTATTTTTGAAAGAACTTTGAATGCTACTTATTCCACAATCTATGGGATATTTAAACGAACGAAGCACTTTTGAGAAAAAAAGCTCCTACGTTATTTACAAGTTATCTTACTGGAGGCTCACAATCAAAACATACTTCTCTCAGGTATTTCATCCTAATTTAAAACTACAGAGCTAGAAAAGAAGTGTGTAATTTCTATAGGAAAGCTCTTTGGGACAACATACTTCTTGCAATTATGTACTTAATAGATCTTAATCCAAACTCAATTAGCAATAAGCAAATAAGCAAACAAAACATATATTATTTCTCTATTTGCTACATTTGTTAATACATAATAAAACCAGCAATCTTAAGGGTTGGATCATACTTCCGCACTATTAGAGAGCAGGCCGGGTAGGGGGGGCTCATCTGCCATGGAAGGCAGCCCATCTAGGAGAAGGAAAATTCCGATTTCAAATCTCCACTGCCTTGTGGCTACATCCACTCATGGAAAAGTCTTCAGGAGTTAACCTAGGGGCAAAATCCGGAGCTGGAGTCCCGAAGGCAATTTGTGTCGTTCTGCCAACTCCTGCAATGTTGCTGGAACCAGTTGTATTGGCGTTTGCCTTTCCATTGGACCATTTCAGCAACGTGGAGAGGGGGGATCTGCTGCTTGGGTAACAGCCTATCCTCCATGTTACTTTACTCAGGCTCCATGCTCTGGAGAGGACACTCGATACAGAGCACGTTACCATAATCTCTCAAGACTGAAGGATGCCTATGCTATTATAAAACATAATAAAACAAAGAAAAAGATTTTGCCCAGTTTTTCTTGACTGAACTAGATCTCGTAACTGACACATATGTGCACAGAGGGGGGTGCTAATACGCATGAAGCAAAATCAGGAAGGTCATCTTATTCTAAAGCCACATCCCATGTAAGGATAGTCTGGCTTTACAGAAAGCCATGGGTAAACAGAGTCCATCTTTACCTTAATCCTCAGCTGTACTTTCACAACTATTTGCACAGCCAACGGCTATCCAACATTGTGTTTGCTGTTCCATATGAGATCCCACTCCAGACAGGCTGACCAACTAACGACCTTTGATTGTAAAATCACCTCCTCAAACTTTTATTTATATAGGAGAATATGGTTCAGTTGCAGAAGATGGTCCCACCCAGGTTGTAATCTGTGGTGTGCCCAGTTAAAGGCTTCAGAAGGATTCATACTTGACACCATGACAGTGACTTCATATAAAAAAAAGAGTGACGGGGTGAATCTGTGATATCTACTCACACTGATTTAAAACATGATTTCAATCATTACCCAGATATACACTTGAGCTGATCACTTGATTTCCCCTTCCAAAAGTATACCCTTACTTTAATACATACTTTTCACACTACGTATTTTTCACAAAATTCTTGTCCACTTTGACTTCAACCCCAGAAATCTCTGCTCACAGATGCTTCCAGTTGTAAATCTGCAAAGCCTCAGATGTAAGGCAGAGCATAAAGGTTTTCCAACAAACAATCATTTTACTTTGGTAAGTAACCAATAACACAGTTACGTTATTTAAATAAACACATCCGCTCCATCACTTACGAGAGAGCACTACAAATATTTAATTGTATTGTATCACCTTTTTGCAGTCTCTTCTACTAGACATGCCCAGCATCTTTGACCTTTGCCGGTGAATACCTTGCACTTAGATGTAAGTGCTTCTCAACATGTAAAGAGGATCTTTCATTGGCAATGGGAGTCTTTTCATGCCACTCTGGATGTGATAAGGAGAATCTGGTGCACTTTAATGTCAACCTCACTACCGAAGAGAACACCACTGACCTCACAGATACTGCACTATGGGAATCATGGCCTTGAGTGAGACACCAGGCAGGCACTTTACTAGGAAGGGAATTAATTACAATTCTGCTGGATTTAATTAGAAAGTGCTCAGGTTGCAAATTGGGGGGGGGGGAACTAAGCCTATATCGTTGGACAGCTCTCATAAAAATATAAAAGAAAATCCCAGATCCACAGATGGGCAGTACCTTTCAAGGAGTCTCGTGAGACAATAAATTGCTGTACTGTAGCCAAAACTCCACTCGCAACCTGGATTCAATCCCAGGTAGTCAGTTCAAGGTTCCCTTCTAGCCTTCCAGCCTTCCAAGGTCAGCAAATTGAGTACTCAGCTTGCTGGGGAGGTGGAGTAACGTATAGCCTGCATAATTAACATGTAAACCTTCCAGAGAGTACTTTAAGCTTTATGGGGAGGTATGTCTATAAACAGCACACTTTGCTTTATTAACATGAGATGGACATGGTGACACTGTGGGTTAAACCGCAGAAGCCTCTGGGCTGCAAGGTCGGAAGACCAGCAGTCGTAAGATCGAATCCACGGGATGGAGTGAGCTCCCGTCGCTAGTCCCAGCTCCTGCCAACCTAGCAGTTCGAAAGCATGTAAATGCAAGTAGATAAATAAGTACAACCATGGTGGGAAGGTCACAGCGTTCCGTGTCTAGTCGCGCTGGCCATGTGACCACGGAAACTGTCTACGTACAAAACGCTGGCTCTGCGGCTTGGAAACGGGGATGAGCACCGCACCCTAGAGTCGGACACGACTGGACTAAATGTCAAGGGGAACCTTTACCTTTATGTATTAGCATCAGATAGAAATGTGAGAGCTTTTGAGTCCTCTAGAACCTCTTTGGAATAGGCGGTTAAAATAAATTGGAGGAGGAAATAGAGAGAAAGTCTAAGAATCTGGGTAGCTGCTTTAACCTAAGGAGATCTGTAATAAAGTTCTGCCCAAGATGTCAAGTGGGACCTGATGAGCCCAAGAACCATGAGGTTATTAAAAGAACACATTTTTGGACTTCTCTGACTCCCTGCCACCTTTTCCCCCATGTAGCTTGACTGAGGGTTCTAGAGCAGTGGTCCCCAACCTTCGGCCTCCAGATATTCTTGGGCTTTAACTCCCAGAAATCCTGGCCAGCAGAGGTGGTGGTGAGGGCTTCTGGGAGTTGTATTCCAAAAACATCTGGAAGCCCAAGGTTGGGGACCACTGTTCTAGAGAATGTGAACACTCGCAAACCTCTGAGGGTCCATTTCTGGCTTTTTGCCTTATGGTTTTAGTCTTATGAATCAACCTGGCTCCATTCGTTTTTTACAAAGAGCAAATACTA